GGGGGGGGGGGGCCTTTTGCCCCTTCTGAGGGCTGAAGCTGGCTGGGAGGAAAACACTGGGGAATGCTACGGGGATGTGCTGGGAGACTAAGAAGTGTGGTTCATAAAGGCCAGCCTTTGGGGGGTATGGGGGGTGTGTGTGTCTGGGGTGGGGGGGGGCTCACCTTGAAGTACCTCCACTCTGTGAACTGCTTCTGGTCGCAGTGTGTGATGATGACGGCCGAGCTGTCTCCTCTGGTCAGGCACTGGTCATACTGCATCAGCTGGTTGGCTTCGTTGATCCGGAACAACTGCCCGAAAACACACACACACACACACACAGACACACACACACACACACAGAGGTCAGAGCCATGACGCAGACTCCCACAGGGCCCTCTGTGGAGCTCCAGCCAAAGAGGTTGTTCTGACCACGCCCCCACACGGGGCCACAGCCCCTCGGTGAGCAGGGGGGAGGATGGCTCCAACCTAGAGGCTCCAGGGGCCCCCCAGCGATAGATCCACACAATCCCCTCCCTCCAGCACTGTGTGTTGGATGGACATTAAAGCTACCCGGTGCAGGAATCCCTCCATCTAATGGTGAAACTGTATTTTACCTTCCAACAAATCCGTTTCCAAATGGCTATTGCAGCTACGCTAGCCTTCAGGCATCAAGAAGTAATTACAGAATAACTTCCACATTATGGAGTTTTCTCTGGTGATGAGGTTCGTAATTTAAAAGAAACGACAAACTGCATTGAATCATTAGTGTGAGCATGTAATTCCTCCTCCAACAAGATAGAGACTTACGTTGCCATGTTTGCTTGTTTTTTTGTTTGTAGGTTGCTGCTACTAGCCTGTGTCGTAGCTAGCATTAGCTAACTTGAGACACAACGAACAAACGAATGTTACAGTCTGAATCACGGACTAAAAAGGATGAACTCTGCTAATTATTAGTGATATATTCTATATATCTGTTTATTTCTTTATTATCATGCATTGTTAGAGCTGGTTTCAGTCATGTGACTATGAAGGAAAACATGCTGTGGATTAGGTAGACAGGCAGACTAGTGCTTTATGTCCCTCTCTGTGATAAAAGTTTTTCAAAATGGCGGATCGCCATGGAAACCTCCGTGGACTGTGTACGTACAGATAGAAAATTCTTCCTTATGAGGGGAAGTCAGATCATTGCAGAGGTCATTTTACACCAAATGAGGACACATTTATGAATAAAAAAAATTATTTTAGCTAATAAAATACTACACAATGTCCCTTCCCGTCTGTTTTTTCCTGCTACACCCCCCAGCAGGGGGCAGTGTGCACCCACCTGGTTGCCCCCCATCCTGTGGCACGGGCCTATTTCCACACTGCCTCCGTTGGTGTGGCCCATGCTGTCGATACAGTAGCCGGTCTCGAAGCCTCGGATCTGCGGACACGGCACAGTGACATCGTCACTGCCGGGAGGAGACCGCTCGGGAGTCAGATCTGTGTGGGAGGGCTTACCTCCCCCCACTCCAGGTTTTTGGGGGGCAGCGGGTAGTGCAGCGGGATGTCGTACGCTATTTCCTCCATGAACCACTTGAAGCTCTTGCATCGATGCTCCTCCCTGAAAACAAGAGTGAAGCAGTTTGGCTTTTTCCCCAACTGCCAGAATAAGCCTGAACTCTAACACGCACTGATTTTCCCTTTGTGCAATATCCATGTTCAATACGCACTCTTATGTGCAATAAATATGTATCTTTTTTAATCTGTACACACAGCTTATTACCACTAACACCAGATTTATTTATTACAGCTAAATTCCTCATTGACTGTGCACCTTATAAGCTTATAATCCTATTTATATTGTATACACCACCAGGTGACCCACTTACAGTCCAGCTGGAGGTGGTTATTTTGTCATTTTAATATATTCCTATGTGTATTAAGTTAAATATGATTTAGCTTTTTTGTTTGTTAGGTTTTGTGTTTTGTTGTACTTCTGTTATGTTCCTCCCTCATGTGGGAATTTTGGGGCGGTCCAGCCTCAGTTCTGCACAGTTTTTCTTGTGTCTGGTTGCTGCTCAGTTGAGTTATTTATTAATTGAGTTATACTGCATTGAAGTTTGACCTTTTGTTCACCATTTCTTATCTTATTAAATTGAAGTTTTCCCCATTTTTGGAACACCTTTAGTCCTGGTTAAGTCTGGTCCCTTACAACTTCATATTTTCTATTCGCACTTTCCTATTTTGCCCGTTTTTGTAGCTCTGATCTTGTTGTACTACGTATAATGACAATAAAGGTGTTCTGAGTCTGATTCTAAAGTGTTGCCACATCACCAGAAACATAAGAAACTCCTGCATCCATTTCCTCCTGAGGAATGGGGGCCTGACTCCAACAGACTGGCCTCCAGGGTCAGATCTTGGACCTGTGTCATTGCCTAGGTGCGATTGTCTATTCTGAAACTAACCAACGCAGGAGTTGCCACACAGGAAGTCCGATTAAAGCCAGAGCTGCACGCACCTGAAGCGCTTCAGGTCGCTGATGTCTCCGTAGGCCAGGGTGAGCGTCTCGGGGCGGCTGGCGTAGAAGTAGTCTTTGTATTCGTCCCACCAGACCTCCACCACGCGCACGTAGTTCTGAACACACACACGCACACGTCCCTCATCATCACGCCTCCCCTCCCGTGCTGACGGCTGGCACCCGCCCGGGGCTGTGGAGCTCCTACCTTCAGGGTGGGGGATGAGCCCACGTGTGCGGGCGGGGGGTTCCCCTGCCAGCCCTGGAGTCTGTAGATGTGGCCCACGCGGGAACACGGCACGAAGAGGAGCTGGCCCCCGCACTGCCAGATCTACAGGGGGGGGGGGACCAGGGTCAGGATTCAGTCCCGTGTGTGTGTGTGTGTGAGTGTTTCCACCTTGTATTTACCTTGTACGATATTTCAAAATTCTCTCCCCCCCAGATCTGCAGGCCCGGGTCGTACAGACCCAGCTCAAAGAAGAAGTCCCTCTCGATGGCAAAGAGCCCTCCGGCCATGGCGGGGGACCTGGGGGGGGGGGGGGCCACACACAGACAGGTGAGCCCACAAGCGAGGAGACACCGGGTCCGGCCCGAGAGGGGGAAACGGCGGTTGCGGACGGAGGCGGGAAAACAGGCGGGAAAACAGGCGGGAAACCATCACAGGAGACTCAGCAAACACAAGCTCAGCAACAAGCCACGGGCGGGGAGACGGTGGGAAAGATGGAGGGGAAGACGGAGGGGAAGATGGAGGTCTGAGACACAGAGGCCTCCCGCTTTAACCATTCCACACCAAAGCTCAGAGGGACTCCCGCAGAGGAGCAGAAACGGCGAGCAGACAGCAGCAAGGCGCCGGTTTAGTGGGTTAGTCGCACACATCGACAGAAACTCGGGTCTCTGAGCGTCCCCATTTGAGTCGGGCGATTTGCTGCGAGGGGAGGGGGGAAACCACGGCCGGCTAGATCTTTGTTGTTCTGGGTTTTTTTTTTCTTTCTTCTGTACCTATAGGGCTCGGTTATGGTTTTTCGGAGGTTTTTTTCCCTGTCCCCCAGGGGCACGCGCTTCCAGAGCATGCTCCAGTCCCAGGCTCCTCTAGCGAAGCCGTTGCTGTCTCCGCCCCCCTGGGCCTCGATGATGAAGCTCTGGCCGTGGATGGAGTCGATCAGGGGCACCGTGCAGACCGTTCTGACACGGGCGGTGCGCGAGGAGGACATGCACACGGCAGACGCGGGGATGGAAAACAGACAACAACAAAGAGATGGGGTGGAGGAGTGGGGGTGAAGGGGATGGGAGAAGGGGACACAAAGAGATCAGGGATGAGTCGTAACATGCTGGCTGAGCGTGTACCAGTAGGGCTGGGTGATATGCTTTCTCTTGGCCTTCTCTCTCTGGCTGAGGGGAACCCTCTTCCAGAGCAGGCTCCAGTCCCAGGCCCCTCGAGCCAGGCCGTCCTCATCCCCGCCCTGCTGGGGCTCCACACTGTACTCATTACCGTCTATGTAATCTATCAGAGGGACTGTACACACTGTCCTACACACAGACACACACAGATATTTGGCTGTCATGGGTCAGGCGGACACAAATGGGCAGCACTACGGGCCTACAGCTGATCCTCACTCTGACTGGGCTGCTTCTGATTAGATACAACGGCCCAGTCACAGAAAAAACTAAAGATGGAACCCAAAAATCTGAACCGTAACAGATGAATGTTGATCATTTCTGCATTGGAAGAAAGAAAGAAAGAAAGAGAGAGAGAGAGAGAGAGAGAGAGAGAGAGAGAGAGAGAGAGAGAGAGAGAGAGAGACAGAGACAGAGACAGAGACAGAGACAGAGACAGAGACAGAGA